TAGAATGATAGAGAGGAGACACTGGAATATAGTTTTTATGCCGCCACATGCCTGCCGATTGATGAATGCGAATTCACTGCAGATGATTGGTCGATCAGGTCTGCATTCATTAACTGCGGCGGTTTTACCAGCAAAAATCGACATTCTAATATATCGAAGTAGGCACCTATGCTGACAATCGTCACAGATTAGAGATGTATGGTTGGTAGTTTTCTGGTGTGAGAGAGGTTCTTAAAGTGCATGAAAAACGTTTACACAAGGTGTCTTTCAAAACCGGAAAGGTTGCTTTCTTTGTCCCAGAAAATCTACTTTGACCGATTATGAAAAACTGCTTCCTTTTTAAGAAAAAAGAAGCGCTTTCAGTTTTAACAAACCCACCCTGTAAACATGAGCTACAAAAGCAACAGTTAGGCTAGTGAGTATTGTTCTGCCGCAAAGAGAATTGTAAGGTGTGGACAGATACACAAAGTGTATTTGCCGCATGCTGCTAACAGCGTCCATAATTCTGTTCGATAAAGATGTCAAGAACAGTTTTGCCTGCCAAAAGCTTTTGATCGGATAGGGACATTAGCGACGGAGGGGCTGACGTGTGGGTAGCTAGCAACGATGTTTGATTGGGGCGTGTCGAGGCGACATATTCAGTCGCCTGACACTAAAAACTATCACCATAAGCTTGTTAAGCCTACAGAAACTGACCATGTCGTCTGCCGTATACACGGGGAACTTCCGATGCAATCACACTGCACAAATAAAACTGCCCACGCCTGACTGTTTGAAAAGTCACCAAATCTGAGGAATGACTCATCTGCAAATGAAAAAAGCATACCATCCACAGCAAAATATTCCATGTCCTGGAGTTTCAATCAGAACTTTAACGCCACTGTACCATCTTCCAACTGTTCGGCTGAAACAATAACCAGTCGTTGTCGATACCCCTAAATTGGTTACTGATACCTTTGACATGCTTCGAGTTAAAAAAAAACACTTAACTTAAATTGTGATATTGATCAACATAGGAGGCGATCCCTAATGTTTGGTTTTCGAAATTAGGGAAAAGGTGCAGCAAACAGTTCTGAAGTAAAACCGGCTCTTGCATACCTTAACGGCCTCTCTACCTCATAGTTTACCCGAAAATGATTTTTTGTGTGCCTCCAATGACAGGACACCCTCCAGACACCCAGAAACTATTGAAAAAGGCATGTGGGGGGGTGCATATTATGAAGTATTCCCTTCGATAAGAATAAAAACTGCTAAAAGACACACGCCACAAATGGACAGTGCGCACAAAGAAGCTGCACCTGCTCGACAAAGTACACGACCTGAATGAGTACTTTGTCTACCTACTTATCAGCTGGAATTCAATTGTAGCAATTGTTTCAGCATAATAGATTAGCTGATGATTCCCCTTACTGCGGCAGAGACTTCGAAAGCGGCGGATAGACATTGTGCTCTCTGGCGCAAAACATTACGAAAATTGAATACATCACCCGGAAAGCCTATGGAATCCAAGAGCCTAAAACTGCAAGCACGACAAAAGAGTAGCAGGGTTACCTCGACTCTGGCCAGGTCCTGTCTGAACTGAATATCCGCGGCTTTGAGATGAATGGCCCAAGTGGAGATAAGGCTCAAACGGAGACTTTGGTCGAAGTAGCCGCCGTAGGCCATGAAGGCAGAGGAAAGGAGACAGTCACCGATGATAGTGGCCATCTGCGAGCGGAAGGTCTCAGAACCAGCTTCCCAGCGGGTCCTCTCGCTGCTGAGGGACTTGATTAAGGCCACTGAACGTTCAACCTGTCAGCGGAGAGTCAGGGAGAGCAAACGCGTTGAGCTGCGATAACAGCAAACAAAGGTGTGCAATAAAAAAAAGAAACACAGAAGCCCAATCCAACTAACCTTCGCCTCCACTGAGGCCAAGTCTGCCTTGATGGATTGTGCCTGACTGATGAGCACGGCGTATTCATCCTTGTAACGAGCAATACTCTTCTCCAGAGCCGCAATTGTGGTCTCCACATCTTCCGCTTTCTTCTCGTTCACACCGGCGGCCTCCTCTAGGGCCTTTAGTTCATTTCGCAGTGGTTCCACCTTCTTCAGGATATCCGCATAACCGATCTGCGGGCAAATGATAGAACGATAGAACAGCCACATCAACAAACACGACTGTGTTGCACCATTGTAGCAGTTAATTCAGCTCATCAGCGCGCCTGGAAAAACATCGTTGTCTAGGTTTTTACGAACCTTTTAAAGTTCCAGGGACCCGTCGGAATAACTCAACTACGAAAAAGGGACCTTCATGCAATCAAGCAGCCATTTTTCTGCCGTTCTCAAAGTGTACACATGACGAACTACGGCTGTGGAAAACAGGAGGAAACTGGGGCTTCTCGACCCTGGTCAACTGAGAACGGCTATGTAAGGAAATTATGCGGACTTCATTTAGGAAAAATACGATTTGAGAAAGTTATTTGTCGTCCAATTATACTGACGCACCACTGTGTTAGTGAATGAGCTAGGTTACTCCCAAGACAAAAATCAGCCTGAGACTGGTTCACTTTTGGCGCTTTCAGTATCCCGGTCCCGCAAATCCACGGGCACCGATCACCGAGCATAGGGAGTCTATGAGGTCTGCTGCACTATGCATTTGAGCACTAGTACTAAGAAGATGAGTGACTGATACGGGGTTAAGAAGCCGTCGAAATCAGTAGTAAGGATAATATCGCCAGGACTCTTATCACTACAGAAAACCTGACATCAGATGAAAAACCATTCTATGCTCCCAAATGGGGAGCCTTCTATCGAACCGTTTGAAATAACGACCATATCGAGTCAAAGAGGCTAGAGGCAAAACTAGTTTAAAGGGATCTGTCGCCACTAAGCGCGTAACGTTGACACCTAACCTTAATAATCAACAATACGGACACTGTAGATCCTTTATTTACAAGCTTAAAAGTTGGACGCAAAAACGCTGACTTGCACACGACCGAGGACGGGCATGGAGGCAGTGGCTGATACGATGCGAAGGTTCACGTCTCAGGTGTGTACGAGCGCCTAGGAGCTGGACGCAAGCCCGGTT